CGCAGTTATCTTGAGATACGCGTTTGAACGCGATAAAATTGATTTTAAACCGCGTCTACGTGCGATTTGCGAAGTAAATTGCGTCGGAACGCGTTTATCCTGCGTCTGGCGTTTACATGGGCAATCCGTGAAAATGCTCGAGAAATCATTTTCATATTTCGAAGAATTCAGCCGTTGAAAGAATCGAGAGAGCACAACGACATAAAGCTCTTTTTATCGCTCTCTCGTATTAAAACGGACATATTGATAGTATTTTCTGCACTATGTCGAACACCTGAGTACTTATTTTCAAATGACCGTGGTCATCAAGGTCATTTTTGTGGGGGAATTTTTCCTCATAGAATTAAAGAAAAGGTTCGAGGAGGAATTGTTATAAAATGAGTTTTGAAGATTTTTCTTTTTCAAAAAAATCGAATCTACACGAATAAGAAGTAACTAAAGAATAAGTTTGTTCATTATTTGTGATCTGAGCAATTGATTTTCTCATGTGTATTGCGCTTGTTGATGAATTTCCTTTAAAAAAGAAAACAGAAACTTTTTAAGGAGTGACTATTCAATCAGAAAATAAGTGTCAGATGCTAAGACGAATACTTTTTCTCTCAAATTCCTCATTAAAACAACTTCAGCTGTTCTCCTTGGGAGATGTGTCAAAAATTTTAAAGTTAGCAGCACCAATTCTATGCTTAAAAACACATTTCGCTTAATGAATTAACCTATTATGAAGCTCAATATCAATGATTCGAGTTATTTTAACAATGGAATGGTCGGTGCAAATGATCAAAATGACTGCGAAACTAATCTCTCCGGACAGAGATATTCAAATGTCAAATTTCGTATGATTTTTGCAAATCATCGGTTATGCTCATATTCTTTTATTATTGAAAGAAGAAATCACTCAAGATAAGTTTCATCACATGTTCAAACACTTTCATTACTAATAAATCGTTGTCTCTATAAACACAAAATATGTTTATTTTATTTAATTAGTTGTTTTCGCTTTAAATAATTCTCATGTGCTTAAACTACGTGTAAAAGCAAAATGACATTTAGAAATACGAAGTAAATGAAGTAAAATAGTTTCGTCGGAATCATTTTCGTCTTTACAAGGAATTTTAAGCAATTGATGAATCTGGCACGGGCAAAGTAAACACGGAACAATTTTGAACAAAGAACAGTTTATTGATGAGTAACAAGAACAATTGATATTACTTATTGAAAGATATCTCATTTAGATGCAGGAAGTATTTGCTGTTAGTTAGACATAACAAACAAAAAATAGATTGTCATATGTTTTTTTCTTTCTGGAATAAATCATCCTCAACGTACGTCTAATGATTGCGTACTTTCACTTCTATCACGATCTCAATCAGAGATAAAGCATCGCTGTCCAAGATCACGAAAAGCAAGTAAGTATAATTCATACAAGTTCCAAGTGATTTGTTCGTAAGTTATCACGTATAGAGAACAATCGGGTATCTAAATATGATGTTCGAAGAAAAGAACATAGACTGATCTTAGTATAAGGTCTTTTGCATTATAAAAAAATTTCTACGAATGACTGAAATGATTCGGCGATCTACGTATTTCGAGTACATTTATATCGATAATCTATGTTTCGGTTGTGTTCCTTTCGGCGATTTATCTTTTCAAGTATATGCATTTCGGCGAAGAGATACATAATCGAAACACAGATGATGATTTTTCGGCGACGATCTTCCATCAACTCGAAATGGTTTATTTCAAAGCGTATTTTCGTTTTAACAATTATTCTCAAATATGTTCGGTATGTAGGATAAAATGGCATGCACTGAGAGGTTGTTTTTTTAGCATCTATATATAAACTTATGTAGATTTCTATTTGAAATCATTGTTAAGAGAATGTCGACGACACAAGCTCCAAGAAAACTTCGTGATGCAGGTCAATTGCAATATCTTTGAATGGTTCAATCATAAAAAGGTGCAATCTTTCATTTAGAACTTACTGCACTCAAAGCCAGTTCAAGACTCAATGAAGAAGGTAAGACAAATCTGTTACGAATGACTGATCATTGTGAACTCAAACGTTGTTTCTTTCATGAAAATGATTTTAGAAATACAAAACTTGTTTGAAGTGAGAAAAGAGAAAGATTTCATTGGAGATTATTTTCATTTTTTTCAAGAAATTTCAAGAGATTGATGAATCTGGTGCGGACAAAATGAATAAAGAGCAAGTTGTGAAATTCTACATAGAAATTGGTAGTGATCGTGGTACAGATGAGCGCATAGCTAAGTATGTTCATAGAGAAATCTTTGTTTCATATTCATTTCTCATAAATGATCGATTTTAGTAATGTTTTTGGTATCGTGGATCAAGATAATGATGGTTTACTTAATTTTAGTGATTTTGTTTTGGGTACTATTTTCTTGAGAGGGGCAAGTACGGAACATGAATATTCATTGATGTTTGATATGTAAGTTGATTTTGTGAAATGAGAGAATTGATTCTATTTTGATGATCTTTAGAATTGATGTTTCGGGAGACAAATGTATTAGTTATGATGAAATGAAAAAGTTTATGGACAAATTAGTACGATTTGTTTGATTTTCATAAAGATTAATAAAAAAAACATTTCTATTCTAGACCAAACTAGATGCTAGTGCTCGTGGAGAAGACGTATCAGAAGTCGATTTAAAGAAAGTGACAAGTGATATTTTTAGTCAATATGGTGTTAAGGAAGATGAAAAATTGAGCAAAGAACAATTCATTGAAGGGTAATCAAAACTAAATCATATGATTTTTCTAATTATTCAAATATATTTCATTTAGATGCAAAAAAAATATTCTTTCGCTTTGAAATGATTTCATTTAGATGCAAAAACAATTCAACTGCGTCATCTGTTTAACAGTTAATAGACATAGAACAAACAAAAAATAAGCTTTTACAATTTTTCCTTTCATTTTCAGTGTGTCACTGTGAAGAATCTGTAATAAAGACCAAAGCAGAATAAATATTTTCTTCTATTTTTTATCACGAAACATCGACTATAGGAAAAATGTCGTCATTCATCATTCTGTCAATTGATCAGATATCTTTATTCATAAGTGCAACTCTCTTTTTTCCGTTGAATACTAACAAAGGTATTTCTCAAAGAAATCAATTTAATATTGATAAGATGTGTTCGTTAGTAGACGAATATTTTTTATTTTTTAAAATGATGAATTATTATTCTCTCGATTGAACTGTATAAATGTTTCGTCATGTTCATTTTCGAATAACTTCATTGTATGTTGGTTGATCGAGATGTTCAATTTTCATGATAAAGTATTTAGATGGACTTTGGCTGTTTTGATCGACAAATCCATTGAGTTTTTCACGTACATTTCTAACCGATGTTGAAGAATACACAATGATTATTTGATTTTCATCAATAAAGATATTTCTGGTATTCAATTCTTTTTCTAGATGCGATTTGATACTTTGTAAGATACCACCCATGTCATTAGAAGATAATCTTGAATTTTGTGATTCTTTAATTTTTAAAATACTCACAGAGCAATTATGTTCCTGTTCCATAGCAGAGCGTAAAGTATTTGTTTCTCCCGATGTCTCCGAGACAGCTGGAGACTGTGCTACACAATCCATTTGAGAGTTGTGTGAATATTGAGTATCTATAGCTTGCTGTCGATGTGAAAGTGAAAGTGAAGGTCGGGGATAAGCATCCATGATCGTTTTCTTAGCACTCTGATAATCACGAGAGGCCCAATCTTCTATCTTAGTTATTGTTTCCCAATGACATTTAAGAAGAGCTATGTTTAAATTGCCATCAACTGAATAATTTTGATATGTCGAGAACAATTTCGTTGTTTTCACCGGAAAAATATCCAGATCAACACCACATGACCAAAATAAGATCGACCCACACGAACGATCACAATCATTCAAACGACCAACAATTCGATGTGATTTGTCGGCTGGAATCGATGATAAACCTGGCCAGGCTCTCATAATTTCTTCATAAATATATTTTTGAATGTGTTCTTTTACGGATTCTGGCAAATATTTTCCTAAACAACGTTCAAATTGTTCCTGAATATCCTTTCGATTAATATTCAATTGTATCGGTATCGTTTTCATATTTGCATTCGTTTGTAAATAAGCAGAAACACTTTCGAGTTCTTCTTGCATCAATTGAAAAACATTTGGATAGTGACGAGATAATATTGAAGAGACACCATTGCTATGAAAACCATGTTCGACCATTGGACTCCATTGAGTTGACATTTTGGAAAATTATCAGATTTGAAATAAATTATACACAGCGGTAACAACAAGTATTTATATAAAATAATGGACTACACAGTGACACTCAATGATTTGCGATTTTTCCTATCTGACTCATTTATGGCGATATGAGACTTTTTTATCAGTGTTGAAGATAATATTTATGATTCATAAAGATTACAAAGGATTTATCCAGTTATATGACAGGAATGATAAACGTAAGGAAAAATCGAAGTGATGAATATAAATTCGATATAAGTGTCATGACCTGTTATAACTCATACATATATAAATAGAATCGAACAATATAAACTTATGTGATTGATATTCACTTACATGATGGCATCGAATACTACTGGCAATGTTCTCACGCTTTCACGCGTTATCTATAGTAGTGAAATATCAAAGCATTTACGTCAACAATATCCGAAAGTTTATGAGCTTTTATGTTGGGATTTGGAAAATACAGCATGTGCATTATATGCCACTGGTGCCTTTGAATTGTTCCAATTTACAAAAACATTACGTTATGCTCAATCTGGTACAAACAACATTAAAACATGGAGTGATTATAAGGAAGGGATTCATCAATATCTGAAGAGTCTTAATGATGATGTTCGTCTGGGACCAGCACGTCAAATCCTTGCTGACCACATTCACAATGAGCATTTTGCGAAATTTCCCAACTGGCCATCCATTTTTTCTCGTTCCCAAGAAAGTAATGTTTCTATTGACATTTCGTCGAGTTATCCGTTTAGTAGTTATTGGTATGTTGGTTGGTCATGTATCGGATATATTAAAGTCTCAGATGTCCGATCTGGATTCAATTCATATTACACAGATTTCGAAGGAAAACCTGAACTAAAAATTTTATATTGCAACGAGACAAAGATGAAAGAATTTGAAACGCTCGCGAACGGAGATATGGAAGAAGCCAAAGGTTTAATTAAAACAAATAAAAAACAACTTACCTTTCGAGACCTTGAAGACGCACTTTCAAGATAAGTCTTTTAGTTTTCGATATAATCTTGAAAATAAATCAAATCTTTCAATACTGATTTGTCTATCAAAGTCTAATCTTTAAAAAAAAAGGCGAGAATTTGTAATAAAAAACTCACACATCTACATATGAAAAAAGAAATTAAAGGATAAAATTTAATTTGAAATGAGATGAGAAAGATTTAATTGTTTCTGATTTGCAATTTGTTCGATTTGACGAAATAAATCATATTGAATTTGTTCACTGACAATTGAATCATGTTGATACAAATGATGATTTTCAATGGATTTTCTCATCCACATGGCATTGCTCAACAAATCTCCTTCGAGAAAAAATACAAAAGTTTAGGAAAATAAATTTGGTGAGAAAAGAAAAACCTTTGGCACGTTGAGAAATAAATTCGATGTATTCATTCATTGTCTGTCGTGTTGAAATGTCAATATCTTCAAATGAATTTAAATAATTTAAAACTAAAGATTTCAAACCAAAATAATTTTCCTAAAAGAGAATCTTTTTTTTGTGTAAAGAAAAGTGAAAAATCTTACTGAACCATTAATAATTTCATCGATTGTCATTTCACAGATGTGATTTTGTTTTCGAAAATAAAATTTCATTTGTTGAATTGTATTTTTCACTTGTGCTCGTTGCATATTCTCATGAATTAACGAAATAGGAATTCGTAAATCAATTTCAAATGATAAAATCGATCGAGTTAATAAAATTAAAAACACAGACAATGCCGCATTTTCGAAGTCGGTTAATTGAAGCTGAAAAAAGTGAATTTTACATTTGAAAAGAGAAATTCTGTGGGAAAATCACAAACCTCCATTGGACGAAATTCGATTCTCCATCCCAATGAAGTCATTTCATCGGTCACTGGTGGTTTAAATCGAAGTGAATTCCAAATCATCGAATTGTGATTCTTTTCAATAACAAAACATTTCATTTTCACAAAAGAAAACTTTTCCTCAAATTTACTTCGAATTTAAAAAGATTTGTCGATGAATTTTGTTCGAAATTGACTTGTTGATCTGTGACATAAAGTGGATCACGAATGAACAAATGTGCAAAATGTTTAGCAACAACCGATGGACAATCTTAACGAAAAACAAAATCGATTTGGAGAAGAAAACGAAAAGATCTTCTTAACTGTTTTCAATTAATTTCTCATAAATTTCTTTATCATAATGAATAAATAAATCATTAAAAGATTCACTTGAATTTAATAAATAACACGGAACTGATGCATATCGAGAAAATTCAATTAAATTCTCATTTAATTCTTCATTTGTTCGATCATCTGTTGTTTTACTTAAAATATTCCATCGACTATCAACTTCACTTAAATAACCCCGCCAAATTGGACACGATGTGCTCAACGATAACTAAATACACAGAGAAGAATCTTTTTTTCGGTCATATTCGAATGAGAAATCGTACAAAAAGCGGTGTAAGTGGAATTAATTGATCATAAAGCAGAAGACTTTCGTGAAATGACGATGCTTGAAGAGTAACTTGTAAACACGAACAACCCCAACCGATTGATGATGAATCTAAATGAATATGATTGATTTGACGAGTTTCAACATATTTTTGCCAATTTTCAACTCCATAAGAAGAAAAATCATCTTCAAATGGATCCGATGTGTTCGTGTCTTTCATGACTAAAAACAAAATCAACTCGAGTTTCGCCTTTCAAAACGTCAACTTACTTGGAACGTTCACAGAAACTTTGCCTTGACGACGTTCGATGACATTTTTATTCAAAAACCTTTTGCAGAAAAACAGAAAATTGAAAATAAAAGAACGAAGGTCAACGCACATTGTTCTCGGATATTCTGGTGTTTTGTAATAATCCGAACAAGTTAATGAATATTCGAAACTATTCAAAGGATCACTTTCATATTCTGGATAAGTACAATGAAAACAGCCCAATCTAAATTCAAATCGAAAGCATTTTCGTTTCTTTTTTATCTTTCAATTTACCTCGGAAATGCCGAAAATGTCAAAATGAATTCATTTGGATTCAAAAACCGTTGCACAACTTCACGTCTCGATTTCATATTGGTTTCTACGAGAGGAAATGAAGAGATTTGCGATGAATATGGAATCGATGGAATTCCTTCAATGACAAAATTACAATCTTCAGCATGAAATTCAACTGGACAACTTCTTCAAAATAAAACACAAAAATCAATCGAAATGTCCTTCATTATTCTTTTACTCTTTATCCAAATTTTCATTTAATTTTGCTAAAAGTTCATCTGCTTTGAGTAATAATTGCACATGTTGATTCTCATGATCAAAACGAACTAACGAATATTCGATCTAAAGAAAAAGAATAACTGAAGATTTGTTTATGAAAATGATCTTCTTACTTCATCACCCCATAGAAACGGATCGTTTTTTCTTTCTGAATGTTTTCTGAAGATTTTTATTAAATCGTTACACGCATCGTTTTTCAACAATGTTCGAACTTCGACAATTTCTTTCCAAGTCAATGGACGACCAGCTGATAAAACACCCATCGACGAAATGAAATCGATGTTTTCGTGGAAAAGTTTTCAACGAAGTCTCGACTTAATGGATTCTTAATGAAGAACAGATGTTTCATATAAACAAAAGTCGATTTTCCCAAAGCAAATTTACCTTCTGTCTCTTCGAAAGAGAAGAAAAAGAATACTGTTGTGATAATCAATCAATGAGATAATTCTGTGAAGATCATCGCTATTTATATATCAATAGAAGAGAACGATACGGACAAATCTTTTTCTTTCCTTATCTCCAAGGATAAGACAGAACGAGTCAATCCCATTAGTGGAAAATCGATCTTCCTACAAACATTGCACAACGTTCTCTTTTCTTCTCGACGAGAAATATTTTCCTCAAATAGATTTGTTTTTCTTATAAAAGATTTCTTTGTTTTTATAGAAAAATTCTTCTTCAATTCACAATTTCAGACAAAGTGACAAAAATGATTCATTTCTTGTCAAAAATCACATTAACGCATCCAAAACAACACCAATTATGGGCAAAACTGTTGCGATGATCATCAATATCGACGTCATCAATGCAAAACGACAGAACCATGAGAGAACAAAAAATCCGAGCAAAAGCAAAGCAGCTAAGATGACAAAAGCGGCAATGTATATCGTTGATAGGACTTGACACCAAGAAAGTGTTTTTCGTTTTGCAGAAATATCATTTTGTTTGATAATCGAATGATGAAATTGTTAAACATGGAATTGAAATACTCACTTGATAAATCCAATTTCTTGTTATTTTCAAAATTTTTCCAAGATAAAAAGAACCTTTTGCTTCTTTTTTCTGTTCATTTTTGTCAACTTTAGCTTTTGTCCAATTTGTATACAAATGATACATTGAGAAAAATAATCCGATGAGAGAACATATCCAAAAGGCAATGTGTATCAGATTGTTCTGTATTGATGAAGTAACATAACATTGATAAACATCATAAGCAGTTGAATTCATAAAATATGATTCGAATCGTGTTTGAAAATCAACTTTAATTATATGAGAATAAATGGAATTTTCTTTCGGATAAATATAATACTCATCACGTCGGATATATCGAATATATTTTATTAGACCATAGACAAGTCCTACCACGATAAATAATAAATTCATTACAAAGAAAATGAGATGAATATTCCTTCGATTTCGACGTTTTCATTTCTGACGATGGAATGAAAAGTGTATTTGCATTCTGAGAAATTATATCATTAAACAATCGATCGAAATAAATCACTTGATACTTACCATTTCTGTTCTTTCTTCAAGAAGAACATTCGATGAGTTGGCTGAGACTTCTAAAAAGTCATTTTATATCAATTCTTTCATTCAGATTATTACTTGATAAAACTCTGCGATCATTTCTATTTTCCGATAAATTGTTTGAAATATTCAATGGAAAATCTGATGAATGATCGTCATTGTATCCAACTGCCAACATTGTATGTTGTCCAATCATCTTATCTTTGTTTCGAGGAAAAAGTGTTGGCATTGGTACTCGACCATACTGATCTCTAGCCTGCGCGAAAGATTCAAATAATCGAAGGCCAAATACAAATGGATAACTTTCAGCTAAACATGCTTTCATTTCATTTAAATCAACTTTGATTTGCATAAATTTCTTTATACGATAATTTTCACCTTCATCATAACAATGTTGAGAAGGTTTTGTATTTTTATTTTTTTCATTGTATGGATATGTGTCTTCTTTACAACAACCCCATTTCTTCAATGCTTCAATAGCACTAGTAATACGAGTACCATTGTCTTCCATATTGACTGAATCGAGTCCATCTATGCATCGACTATTATAATAAATAAATAGACGACTGACATCAACATGTCGATTATCCAACATTAAAATAATTAATTAAATGACAACATGCCAAATGAATCTTTTGTAAACTTCCCAAGAACCAATTTTTCGTTGATCTTCCACTGGTGTCATAAGAACTGTTAAATCAGCGTAAGACGGAAACAAGACGATATTGAATTTCTGTTCCAGGAATGGACAAATATGTTGGTTGAGCCATAGAAAGTATTTTTGTTTTCTTCGAGGTTTCAATGCAATAAAATCAATATCTTCTTAATGACACAGTCAATGAACTTTTCTATTTAATTCCGAGTTAATATACAAAAATGTCCACTGAGTTTTTTTTCCAATAAAGTACAAAAAGAAGTGATGTTACTTTTCAGAAGCACTTGTCGTATCTGAAAAAAAATTAAGTATACGAATACAATTCATATGATAAATTCATCAATAGAAAGATTTTTCTGAATTACACTGTAAATTTAGATTAAAATGAAGAATTCGATTCCCCATAATCATATTCCAATTTGCTAAAAGAACAAATTGTTGATTAATCATAAACTAATATCTGAAGATGTTCACATGAATTAATTAATTGACTCTGCCATTGTCTCTAATGAACTTATTTTTGTTGCATTTAAACGAGTTATTGATCATAAATTCCAACTGGTGTTCAATGTTTCTCGAAATGCATAAACATGTAACGAAATACGTTCGATTTCTTTCATTAACAAGAATCAATGTATTTTAATATTAAACACAGACAAAAGTGACAGAATGTTTATTCCCTGTTTTATTGATTGATTATTTTCATTGGTTATGTGAAATTTGATTCATTAAAAATGAGAAAAGTACTTTGATCACGTTCTATAAGAAGAAGCGAAAACAGATTGTGATATTGTTCATAGGAAAGAGAAAAGCAAAGCAATAAAGAAATGTCTTTGTCTATAAAAGATAATATTTGATGAGAAAATCATCTAATAAGTGAAATCAATGTAAAACTATTTAATATGCTGCAATTTATTCTTTTGACTAATCGATATACTTGAAATATCTCACATATATATCTTTGGATTTTCTCATCAATTGTTGTTTCTCTTTTATACTGAAAATATTTCCATAAGTATTGGCATTGTCCTCAATAACAATGGCCTCCATTGTCTGATTGAGAAAAAGAACGGGTATTCATATCATTTGAAGCTTAATCTTATGATGCGTATCAAACGAAAATCAGCTCTCGATTTTGTAGAGAAAAGATTACCAAGTAAGGTTTTGAACGAACAAAAATCTTGGATTTATTTTGCATGAAAATGATTGATCGATCGATAACTTCCTATTGAAAATCTATCAAATAAATACTCCGCTCGTCTTCATTTTTATACAAAATCATTTTGATTGTATCAACGTCATTCGAACTGTTCCGCAGGAATTATTGTCAAATCTTGCCTCATCATCAATCCCAAATACTTTCTATTCATACATTTCTGCGTCACTATTCATTTGAATTAAATATTTTATATCTTTTAAAATGACAAACGGACGGTTACGGTTCGCTGTCATTGGTCTATTCGCCGTGTGATCGGTCACGCAGAAAAAGAATGTTTTTCGTCCGACATCTGAACTTATTCGTCGATTTAGAATTGATATTCATATTCAATGATGTATTTCGAAGATTTATCAAATGAAATTATTCTTTGTATATAGGAAGAACTATCATCTGCTGATGTTATATACAGTTTCTCTCATCTTAATCATCGTACGAATTCATTATTGATTGAATTTCATGGACTTTACAAACGACTTGAATTAGATTATTCTTCTTTATCAGCTTGTCGATTTCTATGTAAACAGATTCCAAATTCGATCGAATGGCGTCTTGGTCTTACAGTACTGAAAATGGGTTGTCTTCATCGATGTTCTCAAGTCAATATGTTCGTAGATGAAGTATTCAAATTCATTGTCTCAAATAATTTTGCACGAAACCAAAAAACAGATGTTATTGATTGTTCAAAAGATGTTTTCCATTTATTGATAACATATAATAATCAAATAAGACAAACAATATTTCCTCAATTATCGTCATTGTTTATTTTTCAATGTAGATCAGTCAGTGATGACTATCGAGATGTACTATTATTTCCTGTAGCTGGTGGATCTTGTATGCGTACATTCACTTGGAATGCTTGTCGTAATCAAGCACATCATGGCAAAGCTTTATTTGATTGGTTATTTCGATATTCTCGTCGTCTAGAGAAATTCGATTTGAAAATGTCTCGAAACGAAGATGGTTTTGAACTTACCCATGAACATACACTTCTGAACAAATACGATTCCCATTATTCTCTCATGCAACTCAATATTACAGTTCTCAATTTGAGTACCTTACACATACTCCTCCATTATCTTCCTCAACTTGAATGTTTAGGTAACAACATTAAATGAATATTTTTGAAAAACAATCGTATCATTGTATATGTATTCATAGATGTGTATATAACCAAGACTTTCTATTCAAGTAACACTATGGATCAAAATCTACCAAGAAACTTGAATTATTCGAACAAACTTCGTATTTTCAATTTACGGTAAAAGATTTCGTTCATGTACTACTTTTCGATTGATATTTATTTTGTTTCAAAGACATATTTCAATAATTGGCTTAGATTGTAGTTGTATCGAACAGTTGATATTTCAATTTCATCATACATTAGAAGATTTGTCAATATTTGTGAAACATGATTCCAATGGCATGATTGACAAATGTTTTGATGGTCATCGTGTTGCTCGTCTCTGTCAAAAATTGCCTCGTTTGCAATCGCTTTCGTTTGCATGTCGATTACAACTCGTAGAGCGACCTAGTCAGGAAATATTTGATGGTTTCATTGAAGCTTTTCGTGAATCATACTGGATAGATGGTCCTTTGGGTCTTATACGAGTGTGTGTCAATTATCATCAAGTATTTCAACTGATACAAATCTATTCTCTTCCGTATAAATTTTCGGAGAATATTGTTTATTGTACCACTGATTTAATCGATGTCAAATTCAATGTCAACGAACAAGAAAATACAATCATACGAAGAAACGTGCCTATGTCACTTGAACTACTCTGGTACGGAATGAAATGGCTCGGTGTATCTTTTGTTGAAAAAGAAAAAGTACCTGTTGCATTTTTTGACGCAATTCAATACCTGCCTGGCCGTAGTAAGTCTATTAGATTTCCTTCACCAGATTTCATTTATTGTTTTAGACAAAGTGTTGATTTTATCAAGTGAAAGAGGAATATTACCGGATAATATTGAAAATCGTTTACAACTTACTCACTTTTCGACACTACAATTAAGATATTCGTTTGATGTCAATAGTAATGATGATTTTCAAGGTGTATATTATTATATTTAGTCACGTATTCAATTCAGACAATTTTTTAATTTCTATTATAGAATCTATTCGTTGGCTTCGTCTCTTACCACATGTAAAATGCTTATATATCAATTCGATTGAATTAAAATGTTGGTTGACTGAACGATATCGTTGTCAGTATATTGATACATTCTTACAAAATCTTGATCAATTATATATAGATTGTTCGGATATTACTAACTTAATGTTAAATGAAGCACTGATGATACCTCTATTTACTTCTCTAGTTAAAAGATATGATTTTCCTAAATTACAATGTTTATGCTTTTTTATGTGTAAACACATTTCATCATCATGGAATAATATTAACAAATGGATTGATTTTATCTTAACTCATTTGAATCAACACAAACTCAAATATCTTCGCTTTAATTTTACTGAAAAGGAAAATGAAATCATCATCACTACCGAATCTGCGTGTATTATTGACATCCACCGATTTGTATCCGAGAATCAAATTTCATTTTGGATGGAAAGAAAATACTGATTTAATTAAAGAAGAAATCGAATACGAATACGGAGAAAATCAATTAGATTCAACAAAGTGTTTCATTGTTATTGGGCTCCATAGCTCTCAAGAGATAAATCCCTTGAGCGAGTTGGATGGGTAACACCATATGCTTCCATCGACTGCGTAGCTGTAGAATCCGGAGCTGCTGACGACTTGTTTTCCACTGCCATTGTAATGCTGGCAGAACTATTGTCCGACGTTAAGATCAGAACGTGATGATGAAGAATAATTGCTCATAGTTTCTAAAAAGTAAAAAAATATATTGAAATAACATTCAAATAAACCCTATTAAGTTTCAAATAGAAAGTGAGTATTATTTATATGGCGGAAAAATATGTCATAATGGCAGAGGAGTATATGGAGTGATAAGAAATATTTTGAGATGAAATAAAAGACTAAGTGATGGAACTAAAGTCCCCCAAACCGACCGAATACCCGCACCCCCAGACTCTAGATAGAACGACATGAATGAAAGATTTGTTAAAATCTTCTTTTCTTATTTATGTGACGCTTTTTTAAGACAAGTCGATAGAAATGTTAATTTATCAACAACGATTCAATCGGTAAAATAAATAAAATTTGTCGATATGAAACAAATGAGTTACTTCATAAGCATTTTCTCTGTTAATATTTTTTGGATTGAACTTCGTTTTCTTTTTCAGTGAGTTAAATTGATCATTTTTACACTTCCTTGTGTAGTCAACAACTAGTGGAAGTGATCGTTGACAAAAAAACAATGTTTTCTTCTACAATTTAAAAATCTATCCAATATCTTTTTCAATTTTATTTGATACCAGATCTATGCAAACAATTGCAAAGTTTTTCAAAATGTATTCATTTTATCGCAGATGATGATATTTCAATTATTCGGAAAAAAATCACTTAATCGACTGAGAAAGTCTTTTTTTTTCAAACTCGAAAATCTTCTTCAATTATTTTACATTTCAAATATTTCAATTCAATGACACAACTAAAATGATTTCCACTGCGTAACATATAGATACAAGAAAATGTCCTTGGAAAAGAAAACGAACTCACGTCATCGATTGATTTGTACACGAATATAAAATTGATGAATGTTGATCAATTGCTCCAAAACTTTGTTTTTTTGTTTTATATTTCTGATAAAATCCCTGATAAGCGGGTAATTCTCGATTTCCGACATCAACCGTATTGATTCCTTGTGAAAGATGATTCATGGAGAATGAATCTAAAATGGCACAAATCTTCTTTGATGAAATATTTTTGAAACACATCTCCGAAAGAATTTGATAATGATTTACAACACATTCGTATGTTAAAGGATGGAAATCAAATTGAACATCTTCATCGAGAATCCAAATGAAACGATAAGATTCGATTAAATGACGAGAAAGAAATCTTTTGATGAACCAAAAACGTTTTTGATTTTCAACACGAATCCAAATCGCTTTGGAATAAATTGGATGAGAATTCCAAGTCGAATTATCATAAATCATGATTAAATAATCAAAATTTCTCTCCGGATATTTTAAATGNTTAAACATTTGCGGTTTGGGCTGAAATTTCTACCACAAGTAGCTCCTATCCTCATTGGAATATCCTGAAAATTTCAGCCAAAAATGTTGTTCCCTTGTTGAGATATTAAGTTTTCAAATTAATCGCGATTGTTTATTTGATTTTGAAGCGACGCCCAAAACAAAGATTTCTCCCATATTTAATATCTCAACAAGGGAACAACATTTTTGGCTGAAATTTTCAGGATATTCCAATGAGGATAGGAGCTACTTGTGGTAGAAATTTCAGCCCAAAACTCAAATGTTTAATTTTTTAGTCACCCGTGCCCGGGTGGCATGAAATTTAGTAAAATCGACATCATTCGACTCCAGGAGCCTATCGGCCCAAATCCTTCTAGGACTACACTAGTCTCAAGGGTCCCCATCTGTATGCAGAATATCAGCTCAAAAGCGATTGGACAGTTGGGGCGGTTCCCTCGTCAGTGTTATACATGCCACGAAGGCGCGGTTTCTACTGTTCTACGGCACTGTACTTCGATGCTGGAGATGAGAGTAATGAAAACACAATCGATACAGTCGGCTACGATCCTAGTTGTGCTTATATGGTAACCTTATCCAATAAGAACCAAGTGAGTGATCACTATCCTGACTTAATTATTTCATTTGTTCTAGAGCGAGAACAATCATGGAATCCAAGTACAGGTGAAACGAAAGTTATTTTACGTGGTATACACTAATGTCGATTGGTATGATTTTCACTGGTCAATACCTGTTAGTCCATTAACAAGATGAAAATAAACTTTCATATTCGCGTGTCTTGTTTAAAGCTTTCTATTATCATTGCGTGTCTTATCAATGAATACGAATGTAGTACAGTCTCAAAGGAAGATTCGTTGAAATCATCGTCGAAACTTCCGGAATAAGTGCACAGCAATTCTCTCGTTTTAAAATAAACAACTTTTGTTCATCGCTTTCCTTCCTAGATGCCTATAGTGTGTACTTGAATGCTGATGATTCTGTTTCGCACTATCTCGCTAATAAATATGATGTGTTTATTGTTAGCATTGAAATACAAAAAAACACAATGAAACTGTTGAGAGAAAAATAATTTGTTACGGAAAATGTAACCAACGATCAAAAACAATTTGCTCGTCGTATAAATATGTACTAGGCTTATTGGACTTAACAAACAGGAGTCAAATAAGCGATTTCGTCACTATTTAAGTCTGTTAGCAATGTGTCACCAAATATGGAATGATCAGCAGAGAAGTAACTGGTTCTTGAACTTCTGCTGTTATCGATGCGTTTAACGTCTACATTAAGTGTATAGCCTTGAAGCGATGTGGAAATATTCGCTTTTGTCACACTTCCAGTAAAATATGCATTCCCAATCACGATTACAAGTGTTGATCGATTCAATTGTCGTTTTCTTCGTCTTCTTCCGGCAGCTGACAATTCGATCGGTCCGTCTGACATCATTAAAATATTGAACTTCAGAAAAGTCGCCGAAAAAGTTGCTTGCAATTTAGCATTTATTGTCGATCTAAAATTTTCGAACGCGGCCGACATATCGAAATATTCTGTATTGTCGTCGTTGGCTATCGACAACAGCAAACCAAGACTCATGTATGCCTCGTGAGCTCCATCGTTCAAGTGACATCTTGATGTGGTCGTAACAGCTGGAGTGTCAACTGTAGATTTTGTGCTTGGAACAGGCGATCCAGTTGAAAGCACATTTGTGTATACAGTTGTTATAATCGTAGTACTAATTATAGCCTGAATTGATGTGTTCGGGATCACCGGACTAGCTCTTGTGCCAGTACTGGTACTTGTGGTAGTTTCAGTTGTAGTACTGGTACTCGTTCTACTTGAAGTTGTAGTAGTAGAAGTGGCGGTGGATATAGCAGTTGTTAGTAAACTTAGTGATCGTTGGAGGATGTAGTGGTTGCTGGTGGATATAGTAGTTGTTGATGGATGATAATTGGTTGTCGACAGTGTGGAAACTGTAGCCGGTGCTGTAGGCTGTGTCGTGTACGGCGCTATTAGTTTTCTTTTTGTCGCTGTTGGAGTGGACATTGTTACGGTGTATTGGTTTTTCTGGCAAAGACTAGTGAGTTCATTCATTTCTTTGTTAGTGAGTGCTTGAGCATAGGAGTTGGTGAAAATTGAATATTTGGCGGAATATGATGCGAGAGCGGAACTGGGATTGTGGGAAATATCTAATAATGTGATCGTTTGTGTCGAACCCCCGAAACTACTTGCAATCAGGGAGCTATGTTGTTCGCTTGTCAAATAGATTCGACAAATGACAGTAGTGAGTACCGTATTGGTTTGGGAAATGTAAATTGGGTTGTCGGAAAATAGTAATATTTCTAACTTAACGAAAGATATACTGAAAGTTGAGAAAATTTTGTTTTGAACAGTGATTGCAAGATCATGAAGAACTGAGACGGGATCAGCAAATGAATGCTGTTCCATGGCAGTAAGTAGACGCTCAAATGTTACACTCATATATGCTGGCACAAAGTGATTGCAAGCTCTGGCTAATGAGGATGGCAGAATTGTTGAGGTACCACTAGATACCGGTTCTGGTACAAGGTCAGGAACTGGTTGTATGATGTCAATTGTAATATCTCTGAGCTGTCTTGCTCTGTATACTGTGATTTCTATGAGAATAGCATCTGTAAAAGTTGATCTTTGCATATTTATAGTGCTTAATCTTTCACTCGGTTTGCCAGTATATTTATTAATGAGAATAATCAGACGTGTATAATCTGTAAGAGTCATGCGAATTTGTTCAGCGGTTTTGGCTTCAGTAAAATACACAGATCCATGCAATACTACAATTGATGGCGTGTCTCTTTTTGTTTGGTCCATATTATTTGAAGTGTCAATGACTATAATTGGTTTTATCGAGAAACCAGTAATAACAACTTTCAAACATGAGTCTGGAAAAGCTGACATAAATACAGTGTTTAAACTCTCAATGAAATCTGCTAATGTTGCTCGGGGATCGAAGAATAAGTCCAATTCATAGGCAGCAATAGGAAGATCGAGAATAACATGCATATCAGACCCGAAAACTGGTTTCACAGCTGGTGTTTCCCTCCCGACAATTGCAACAGCAACAATCACAGCTCCGATGAGACCAACAGTAAGCGCGATTGAGAGAAAACGAGGCACCACAGAAGCACCGAACATTTTTGCGACCACTTTCTAGATAAAATTTTCGTAAAGTACAATCGTTACCATTCACCTTTACCTGTAAAAGGTGATATTAATCTATGTTTAGCCAAGTCATACTTGTGTAAGGCGCGATGCGTGTGATTACGCAGTGAAAGTCGGTAGTGAAAAAAAACAAACTTTTTGTGCCTTGTCGAACGATATTGATTCACATTTTAGGTAATCAAAATTAACGAAAACCCCGTTATCAACGGGAAAATTAACAAATATCACGCAAAGATCCATATCCGCTTGTCATATCTTGACAGATAATAGATATTATGATTCGATTGGAATTAGCTTTATTTTTCAAATATACAATGCAGATTCATATTTATTTCTTTTATTATGAGAAAATTATTAAAATCCTTTTGAAATAATTTTAAAATTGAACATGAAATTTATTTTCCTTCACATGGTTTACAGCAATACTTATGATACATTCTAATTCATTCATATAGAACCAGACGGAATAGTAGATGCTAAAATCATGGAAAGAAACCATCTATAGACGACACTCGATGGTGAATTTTTTATCCGTATAAAAATATTTCGAAACCTATGAGGTACATGACAACATATCATGAATGACGGTAATTATATATCCTTGGATGACATGTTTCTAATTACTTTTTGATTTGTCCAATGGTTAACTTTTGCTCTATTGCCTAAGAATAACTGGCTTTCAAATAACGGGCTGATCGAAAGTTGTGGTACAAAATGTTCGTTTATTTCTCAGCCTCTTAAAAGAGTTAGTTGAAATTAGAAATCATTGTACTGGAATCAGAATTTTCTGTTCTTTCTGGATATGAACTCAAAACTTTTACAGTACTTTTGGTTTGAGAGCTGCAAGCCAATCATTTAGAGACTCTAAAATCAAGTTTGGACGAACTTCAGTACACTATAAATCACCCCAAGTTGCATGAGCAATAATTTCAAATACAGTGAATGAAAGAGCAGATATTTCTCTACAAAATAGTCTACTAGCAATTGATTTGCTTCGATCTATCTGTTAATAGCGATTACTTTGTCAAGTGATAGATGTCAATTTTTAGCGGTTTTTTCGATTCCTAGAGAAAATACATTTGAAGTTAGTTCGACCACTTTTGCATGATTATTCTAAAACTCTTGGTTCTTATTTTATTCTGTAGAGACAACTCTCATCTTTAGTTCTACGTAAAGAAACAGTGATATAATGCATAAAATCAAAAAGTCTATTATTACAAAAACCGTCAATTGTTTTCGTCCGAACTTGATTTTAGAGTCTCTAAAAGATTGGCTTGCAGCTCTCAAACCAAAAGTACGATAATTAAAGTTTAGGACCCATATCCAGAAAGAGCAGAAAATTCTGATTTCGGTACAATGATTTCTAATTTCAACTAACTCTTCTAAGAGGCTGAGGAATAAACGAGCATTTTGTACCAAAACTTTCGATCCACCCGTGAGTTACCTGTCATCGATAAAGAACAAGATAAAAAATAATTGAAATAGTTTTCCGACTTGTTGACATTTAATGAATAGACATATAATTATTTTTTATATTCACACGAAGTGGATATTGTACGATACTCGTCGCAAGTCTATGTCAAAATTTCTCTTCTATTAAAACGAATTTAATTACCAACAATATCCAATAAAAAATTATCTAGATACTTTTATTTATAAATATAAGCAAATGATAATATACATGTTTACAAATATACACTCCTACGTTTCAGTACAAATTGTGAAAAATATAAGGAATAGAAAGAAAAATTCTTCAATGGAATTTTACCTCGAATAACTCGACGTGTTTTCACATTTTCCGTTCAGATGGAAAAATCTAAAGATCACCTTCTTAGTATATGGTTTGAAGAAACAATATGTGATGACGAAGGTGATGTCATTTCAATTATTCTAAACAAAACTATTTCTTTTGCGATAACAATGAGAAATTCGAGAACTACTGTCATCTTTATTTTTAGTTGGATGTTGACTATGTATTACATCACACCATATATAATTTTAGACTGTGATTCTCATATCAATGCGTTTATCATTAACAGAGATCAATTATGACGTGTTTCAATTGACTGTAATTTTCGAGGGTAGAAATCTAGTCAATATGAGGCATCAGAATAGATTTGCAATGCTGGTGTGTCAACTAATAACATATATAAATTAGAGTTCACGAAATTGTGATAGCTTTCGCTTATTTTTCATATAAATTCCTCTAAGGAATATATCCGTCGTTAAAGCATTCAACGATTTGATTAATTTAAATATTTATTTCTACATAATTTAATACAGATTGTTATTATTTAGTTATTTGCTTTGCTGTAACAGGCAGCGTTAGAGTTCTAACACCAACTTGTCGTTGTTGTCGTCTGTGACGCAAAATGTTTTTCCATTGTTTCCACCAATATTGTTTAGGAAGTGTAAGAAGCATAAGGATAGGCATCCACAAAATTGAATATAAATCAAATAAAAGTATATATTCCAGTATACGAGGATCTATGTCACTTGGTAAATATCCGATGGTATCCAAAAGAAAATAAATCAAAATCATCATGGAAAAGATTGAACATAGAATTGAAATTGATAATAATTGTATAATCATTTTTCGATGTTTTCGCCATTGTCTTGGTTGTCGTATCAGAGTACTTTTCTTTCTAATAACTCTTATAATAAGTACAACGTCAGAAAACACTGCGAGAATGGTGAATATTCCTCCATTGAAAAAAATATCCCATAAAGAAAGAAAGACAACATGATAGTAACAAGGACTGTAACCACACCATCCTTGTGTATAATCGTATGAATTCGAGTCTTCACATTGAACCAATGTTAAAGCTAATGTGTAAAATAATAATGGATAGATAATGAAAAAAATCAATGGGAAATAATGGAAGAACCATCGGTTTTTTCGAGTTCGAAGGTATTGTTCATGAAAAATGAGAATATGTCTTTCAAACGACATCCAAGTGATAAGTATGAGCGTTGTTTGAAAAGTTCCGACATCCACAAACCACCAAAGTTGACAAACAAAGGGTGTTTGAGGTGAAACATAACCATGAAGAGTATAATTCATATAGAATGGAACATCGATACATTGAGTACCGAGTGAAGTAAAGAGAATAACAATAATTGTATGATTACTTAATGTATTACGTAGAATATTTTTGCCGAGTAGATGATAAAGATGCAGAAATGTGCATCCTAATGATAAACTATTCGTAAAAAGAAATATCCAGAAACGAAATAAACGAGGAATAAAAAGATCCGTCTCGTCTGTTGACGAGTCATTGGCGTAGTTCGAATCCATTTAATGAACCTTCACTTTTCCAAATGAAACACGAATAGATTTATATATGAATTTGCATACAAATGATCATTTTATAAATAGATGTGTCTGTTTGACACACTGGAATGCTAAACAGTAACTGAAGGTGACGCTTTTATATTATGAGTTTCCGCATAAATTAAATCGGGAATGTTTTTTGGTGCATTGGTTTTGTTCCCAGTGTGACACTACTTCGAGAAAAGGAAGTGTAACAACAGCAGATATCATATTTTGGAATGAAATACACGAGTATGTGTACTGAAAGTTCGAATATATATAAACTAAAACTCGAAGGTAATAAAAGATTACAGATACATTTTATTTCATGTATTTATAACGCATGTTCATGTTTTGATATGAAAACTTAATTATAACTGACATATATGTCTGGATATGAAACGCAAGTTTATCCAATTAAAACTTTATTCTGTTCTTGAATAAATTTCTTTTTAAATTCGAACTCGAATTCGACAGATACTCTTTAGAATTGAAGATTTTATTGGGAGAGATTGATAAATTGCACTCATTTGAGACGAAATAAAAGAATTTATGGCCGTGGTTGTCCACAATTTTTAGCTGAACAACATGAACTTTTTCCTGGATTTTGTCTAACAGCACAAGCCATTACATCTAAATTGCATTGACGACAATTTCCCCCTAAACAAAAAATAAAAAGTATTAAATGAATAAATAAATTCCACATAAAATTTACATAAATAAATCCAACTAATTGCTTTACAGCCATGTCGTTTGTAACAAGCATCATGAGCATCGCAACATTTTCCTTTATTTCCACAACTTTTAATAACAGCATCACAACCATAGTTATCTCGAATTAATCCAAATGGATCAACATCATTACGATTATTTGTTCGAGAAATAATCGAACAATGAATCATAGTGATCATTACACCGAGAAAAATAATTAAAGAAA